CACTGTGCCCTTTGAATATGGGAACCGAGCTTCTCACGTATTAAATTTGATCTTCAGGTTGGTAACTTAGAATTTATAATGTTAGAATATATCAACAGCATGTGTGCGTGCGAGAGAATTACTTCATGATATAAAACCTGTCTTACCTCAAAGTTAGAGGTTGTATTTAATTTAGCTACGCCTTTATTTAAAGCACTCCTCTAAATATGTCCCTATCTAGAGGAAGAAATAAATTTCAGCTGCACTCTAAATGCTGCTAATCAGATAGTGCTCGAGGCCGGGAGATAAGGACCAGCTGTACTCAGAAGCACAGCTCTCACGTGTGATATCCGCATTTCAAAGAGATGGCAACATAAGGATAAGGGACAGGAAAGGATCATCTCTTTTGCTGTGCAGCTTTTGGCATTAACTGATATTTCTCCCATGCACTCCGTTAGCTTTAGGCTGATTTAGCCTTCAAGACTTAAACGGCACAGCGCTGCCTCGATTAATATGCACAGGCTCACAAACCTGCTTCTAACCAGCAGAAAAAAATAAAAAGCTGCATATTTGAATTGAAAGAAACACGACAGCTTGTGTTTGATTCTTTTTTTTTTATGTGTTAATCGTATATATTTAATGAAGTGCTGGGACGAGATGATGCTGACAATCAGGAAAAAGAAGATTTTGACAAAGCTACTCAAAGGGAAAATGAAAGGGGAAGTGTTTATGCTGAAGGGTTAAGCAAAGCTGGCTCAGGATCCCCGTGGCAGTTGTTCAGGTCTGCGTGCTCTGCTGGGAGCGGCGGAGGCGCCTGTAATAGCAGGGACTCCTCCTGGGAAGGATGTACCCGCGGCACACCTGTCAGACGCTGTTATTTACCTAGGCTCACGCAGGCTCCCGGCCGCCTGCAAATTACCCCGTCCTGGTGGTCTCCTGTCAAGGTTACGGTGACACAACCTCTCTGCCGCCAGGCGACGGCGTGGCGCTCATTAAAGGATTCTTCCACCGCCGCTGCCGAAGGAATGAGGGCCAGCAGACAGAGAAAACCCCCCCCAACCTGCAGCTCCAAAGGACTTAACCCCCTCCCCCCCTGTCAATCAGCCAGGGACCGGGTTATTAAAACGTCATTATTGCTGTCCTCCACTATGTTCTTGGAGTGGAACAATGAGAGGGAATGTTTCATTTAGCTTTTGTTTAGGCTTTTCTCTCCCCTTTTTCTCATTTTGTTAGAAATGTGAGCATATTTGAGAGTAAGATCTGAGGGTCCTTGTTGAGCGTGGTGGGGGCTTCTCTTTCCTAAATCATCGGCTTCAAACTTAGTAAGATTAGTGTCTTGATGAATGTAACTTTTCCTGTTAAATTTAAATCTCCATATACTGTGCCCCTGTGTTTTTGGGAAGTGCAAACAAGCCCGGTCCGGCTGGGGCAGAATGGTAATGTGTTTAGAAGGCTGTTGTGACATTTCTGAGGGGGCTGATTTTCTTGTTTGTCCAGTGTACTGCTAATGTGACATCATGGAGGCTCAGCACAGAGCCATAAATCCTCCAAACACGGACCCAATGGAGAGGATTTGGGCTGAGAACTGACTCATCTGCATCGTGCAGTGACCGAGGATAAATAAATGTTTTCCCCAGCTCGACAACTCTGTCTTGATGTCTCTCAGAGGTCCCATAAAGCCATAAACGTGCTCATTACCGCTGCAGTGCTGGCTCCACTCGCTGCACTGCAGATCGGTGTGGGTTTTTCTCCCTGGAAAATATGCCAGTTTCCATTCCTTTCAGCGTCGTTCCGAACGTCTTTGTGACTGAAAACATCTCAGCAACAGTTTGGAAAATCAAAGAAATCAAATCTTTACGTGGTGTACTTTCTACCCTTTGCCTGTTAAGATGACAAAGTTGTGGTTTTGTGGGTGAAAAGCGTTGTAGCTTCCAGCTATTCAGACAAAGTTGCAGTGGATAGATTTCTGATGCGTTGGCTGCTGTAGTCAGACACATGCTCTAAATTTTCGTTTCAAAAGACTATTAGAAATGTGATTAACATATTTTGATATTCAACTAAACCCTCCATTAAAGATAGGTTTATGGAATGCCTTTGAAAAAAAAATGTCAGTCAAAGAATGAGGAGCAAAAAAAACAACTGAATAATACTTTTATAAAGCAGACAGAAATGATTCCATGGCTGTCTGTCTTCCAAAATGCCTTTTTCTTACAAAATATGCCCCAATTGGATAATTCTGAAAAGAAAATTAGATTAGAATTAATTATTTGTCTGTTGCTGAATAGCTGATACAGATTGTGGTTCTACTTGTTTTTCCCTAAGTGCCAGGAAAGAAATTAGATATGCTTTATTGAAAGAAAAAAACCACAACTTTTAAGTGTGTCATTCACTCTGTCTGTGAATGAGCCCAGATTATTTCATTCAAATGTTTAAGAAACCTTTATTGTAACTCTGGACCTAAAATATAATTTAAAAAACTGAAACTGTTTCTAAAGTCTTTTTAACCTGGTAAACGGTTACAGACATAAGTGAGCTGATATTTTCCATTAAATCAAACTGGAATTAGCAGTTTCCCAGATTTCAAACAGGCCGCGTCCTCATCTTTATCCACTCAGCTTTTTAGATGCACCAGTCCACTTTTAACTGACTTGTGCTCATCTGTGAACGTTCATCTGTTCCGTTGAGTCACGTGAGAAAAATGTGAGTCATCAAATCATCCCGGTCCTGCTTTTTTTCCCCAGATTTACCCGGACCCGGAGCTGGAGCAGCAGATCCTGGCGCTGCCCATCCGCTGCATCCACAGCGAGGAGGGCTGCCGCTGGACCGGCCAGATGAAGCAGCTGCAGGTGAGCTGGACCCGCTGAGCTGGACCAGGGCCTCTCTTTGGTGCCTTAGCGGCCCGCTAACGTGTCGCGGTGTCTCCTTCAGGGCCACTTCTCCACCTGCGCCTTCAACGTGATCCCGTGTCCCAACCGCTGCTCGGTCAAGCTGACGCGCCGCGACCTGCCTGACCACCTGCAGCACGACTGCCCCAAGCGGAAGGTCAAATGCGAGTTTTGTGGCAGCGAGTTCACCGGCGAAGCCTACGAGGTAAACGCTCCAAACCAGTTATTACCCTGTCATTACTCTGTTATAAGGCCGCCCCAGCGCCACGCAAAACAAACCGGTCTGACCACTTGTTATTTCCATGGCTGCGTGAAAGGCCTTTTTTGTCAAAGCGTGTCAGCCCCTCCAAAAGAGCGTCCTGAAATAACATGTGTTTTAGGAGAAGGAAAGAGGCTTTGACTGTGTCTTTCATTCTGAAAAAAGCTCTCCTCAGTGTGCAGTGGAGGTGCCTCATTACTCCTCTCCAACAGCTCAGTCATTCCGTCCCCTCCTCTGTTTACTCTGGACTCCCCTACTCAAACAGTTTAATCCACCTTTTCACTCTCAAATTGTAAGGATTCTGTCTTCTGGGCCTGGCTGTAAGCCGGTTAAATTTAGCAGCCCCTCAGACTAAGTCTAAAATTACATCCTGAAATGTGTCACAGTGTTGGAATATCAGCCTGCGAAGGAATTTAATCGAAAGCATTTTTTTGGCATTATATTACTCAGGCTTTATTGATTAAACAAAATTATTAATATATTGACTACTTTTGGATAATCGTCTATCCAGAAATGGCTCTGTCACGGCTAAAAAGGCTCGACATCCTGTGCTGGACACTTTCAGATATAATCGTGTTTGATATGGGAATTTGAGCCACATGTTGTAAAGTCATCTCCCTTTTCATACGATCAAAACCACCAGAATAAATGAGCCTTGATGTGAAATGCAGATTTGTCATTTCCCACCAAGCTATTTAACCATTATATTCCCAGCTGCCCTGGTGGAGGAGGAGGATCTTCTCATTTTCTTTTAATTTGTTTAAACGCTGCTGTGATTTGGGAAACTTTTTGAAGCGTGGACTGATTTAATCACCGCATGGTTTCTCTGTTTGGCAGAACCACCAGGGCGTGTGTCCCCAGGAGAGCATTTACTGTGAGAACAAGTGTGGGGCGAGGATGATGCGTCGCCTCCTGTCCCAACACAGCATGGCCGAGTGTCCCAAACGCACACAGCCCTGCAAGTACTGCGGCAAAGAGTTCGTCTTCGACACAATCCAGGTTGGTTTCCCGTAAAGTCGACGGCCAGAAGTCCTCATTTCCCCCAATATGACATTTCAACACAATATCTAGCATGACAAAGTACATGAGATACTGTACATTAGTTCCTCTGATTTTTAGTGTGGTTTTTAGACTCCTTACAGCCTCAGTAGAGGACACAGAGTAAAATTGCCATAGCTAAGGAACCTTCCCGGTATCAGCTGGATGTTACTGTGATCTGCTGTCTAGCTGTTTGGGCTTTAATGAGAAGGCACCTGCTGCAGCACACATCTGGCCAGAGGCAGAACAGCCTTTTTGCTCTCCCCTCCCCCATACAATTCCAAGATTTAGCAGACTAACACATTCTCTGATACTAAACACAGCAGTGGAAGCTTTCCGAAATGATGGTGTAGCCTTACAGTTACCATCTCATCCATTGTAGGACAGCTGTTAACACACTTTCCTCTGTATGACCATCGTTTCTTTTCTCACGACTCTTTACGCTGCTCCGCAGAACCACCAGTACCACTGCCCCCGCTTTCCTGTCCAGTGCCCAAACCAGTGCGGCACCCCCAACATTGCCCGTGAGGACCTGGCTAACCATGTGAAGGACAACTGTGGCAGCGCGCTCATCCTCTGCCCCTTCAAAGACGCGGGCTGCAAACACAGAGTAAGTCCGACCTGCACCATTTCACTTCAGCCGTCTCTGACTCTGGAGGACTTTTACCATTACAACCAGGAATGCTATTCACCTGCCCAGTTTGAATCACATTTTTCTTTATTTTGTTGGTCTTTGTGTCAAAAGTTGTGATCATTTTTCCGGTTTTAAGAGGAAAAGTTCTCTGCCTGTAGGGTTCTGATATAATGATGACATTCTGAGAGCAGATTATTATATGTATCCTCAGGGAATATTGTGATATGGTCCCAGTATTGCTAAATCAAGAAAATTCTGACACTTTGCATGGCTAAAACTTTATTCTTTTCCTTCTTTGTAGTGCCCCAAATTGGCTCTTGGCCGTCACCTAGAAGACACCACCAAGTCCCACCTGACCATGATGTGCAGCCTGGTGGGGCGCCAGCGGCAGGAGATCCTGGAGCTGCGGCGGGAGATGGAGGAGCTGTCCGTCAGCCACGACGGCGTTCTCATCTGGAAACTCAACGACTACTCGCGGAAACTCCAGGAGGCCAAACTCCGGAGCAACCACGAGTTCTTCAGCCCTCCCTTCTACACCCACCGCTACGGCTACAAGCTGCAGGTGTCGGCCTTCCTGAACGGCAACGGCAGCGGCGAGGGCTCCCACCTGTCCGTCTACATCCGCGTGCTGCCCGGGGAGTACGACAACCTGCTGGAGTGGCCCTTCTCCTACAAGGTGACGTTCTCCATCCTGGACCAGAGCGACCCGTCGCTTTCCAAACCCCAGCACATCACAGAGACCTTCAACCCCGACCCCAACTGGAAGAACTTCCAGAAGCCCAGCAGCAGCCGCAACTCGCTGGACGAGAGCACCCTGGGCTTCGGCTACCCCAAGTTCATCTCGCACGAAGAGATCAAGAAGAGGAACTACATCCGAGACAACTGCATCTTCATCAAAGCCTCCATAGAGATTCCCCAGAAGATCATGGCTTAAGAGTCCACGTTTGCTCTCCTCGTGAAGGAGAATGAAGACTGGAACAGATATCCAACCGTTGAACTTCTACACATTAACCCTTTAGGTACTTTATGCCCTTCCAGCCTCTCCACCACAGAGCTTGAAATGAGTCTGTTTGGCTGAACGAGCCGACTTGGAGAACGTTGATGCATCGAAGAGAAGAAAGTGTTTGGTCCATTGAACCATCACTCTCTGGTGTTTTTTTTATTTTTTATTATTATTCTTCTCTGTACGTTTTCGAACCTTTTTTCAGTCTACAACAAAAAGCCTTGGAAATCAAACAGTGCCTAGAGAGTTTATCTTAAGTTTGACTTTTTTAAATTATTATTATCTCCACAGCAAAGACATTGAAGATTATGGAGACAATGTTAAATATAGGGTAGATGCTTCACTGCATTTAGAGTAGAAAGAGAGATGCCCGGTCTGAGTGATCAAAAGTGGAGAGAGCTCAACAGACTCAAGCTCAGACCCAACTGCCTTTTGTTTACATGCTCAAACACTATATCGATCCTTTAACAAACACACAGTCCCTGCTTTGAACTTCCCATGAGATTTATCTAAATCCAAATAAAATCAATGTTTTATGGCGAGCCTTGCGGCTTAGATCATGTTTCAATGCAACAGGCTAATTTTGATAGATACGACTTTGTGCTTTGTGCCATTTCTGCTTAGCTTAGTATTGATTAAGTACTGGAAATTAATTGAAACCGTCGGGCCCCATTCATGAACAAATCTACCAACCAGCAGCTGTAGAGCTCCCTTTTTAATCGATACACAAAACCTTTTTACAAAGCCAATGTTCTATTTGCCCTAGTTTTCTCTCCTTTTGCTAAGGTAAGCCAAACAGTCAATGAACATCCTGTTTCGCAGTTAAAGAAAACATGTTAAAAAGCACTCAGAAACCAGACAAAAAAGCAACCCGTGGCTGCTTTTTAAAACCATAGTACTTGCCAGCAATTAAGTTACAAATCTGTGTCTCCTTCCCATCGCTGGAAGTGTGTGTGGCTCGTGTTTGTAAGTTAGTTGGACCCTCTGGAGCGCTTCGATGCACCAATCACACACTTGACCCTGAGAGGCTGCACATTCACAGTGGAGTCCTACAATAAGAAAAGATATAAGCACCTTTTGTCTGTCTCTGAACGAGCAGGGTAGACAAATAGGCCAGTTGATGGAGTACAGTGCATTTAATAGTGAAGGAAAAGCCATGTGGCCTTTTTATAAAGTACGTCTTCGCATGAGGGTTTATGGGTGAGCAGGGCAACAAAACACATGCATGCTTCATGTGCTAACACCTGGATCACACGTTTATACTGTAACCTGTATTCTTGAAATCCTCTCCTGTTTATGACTATTTTGTCTCTAATTGTTTTTTTTGGACCATTTGAAAGTTGAAAAAAACTGTTTTAAAAAAAAGGCAAAAAAGAAAAAAATTGAAAAAAAGGAATAGTTTTTAAGTTGTTGTTTTTTTTTTTACATATACAAGAAAATGTGAACACTCCTGGTATGATAACCTGTAAAGACAATGAACTTATTGTGGATGCTGTTTGGAGGGTGACATGATCTCTGCACATATGTGGGTGTCTCGGGACTGACGGCACCTTTGTTGTTACCATGGTCACCGGTAACTATCTTCAGCTCGACACACAATGTGAGGATGATGAGCGGCCCTGTTCTCCGCAGCCGTCTTCATCACATCACTGTCAGGAGTGAGGGGCACTCTGACCACACGTTTACTCCTGATGGACGTGAACGCTGAAGTAAAAATGCAGAAGCACATTCTGTCTCTTTATGACCACGTGGGAAAATTCATGATTTCTTGTCATAATACCAGCTGATATTTTACAGTGATTTAAAGAAGCAAACAAATCAAAGTTTTTGTAAGATTCTGTATTTTTAAAGATACCTAGCTGTTTTATACAAACTTTTTTTTTTCGGTTGGAGAGTCGGGGTAAACTTTGGGAATTTTAAGACCCTTTTGTCTCTTGGACATTTGGATAATTTGTCTGTCTGTGTGATTTGAGCCTCACGTATTCTGTCTGTATTATTTCCTCTTAAAAGTATTTATTTTAAGGACCTGTCATGTGAGTTTGCTCTGATGGTGCAAACTTTTTCATATGTTGATTGATGAGTACTTGTCAATTTCTTATCTGAAATAAAATACCATATATTATACTTGTTTTAGCATTTTATGCTGTAAATACAATACGATTAATGTTACGGTCAGAGAGGTTCGCAGGGCTTGTGAAAGGTGGTATTTGACATAGTATCTGGAAAAAAAACAACCTCAAATTATATCCAAGCAGTTTAAACACATTAGTTCTCGCATACCTTATACAAAAAAGGAAGAAGCTTGGTCTTCTATAGTTCAACCCACAGGAAAGACAAAGTTAGGTTCAATTATTAACTCAACTCTGTTATTCATAATTAACCAAAATATAATGATTTTGTTTCTTATCACTATATAATACAAGTGCCTGCCACTATTTCTCTGAATCACAGCAAAAATCGTTCAGTTCTGGAGGAAATAACCATCTCATCAATCCCGAGGAGATGTAGGTCAGGGGTCAGTATGCTTCCACTCCATTGAAGCTCCACTGGAAACGGAGCATAGTGAAGCAGTGGAAGACAGACGGGGGAAGTCAGCCAAACACCAACGCCTTCAAAACTGTGCCAGGAGTTTGCACTGGCTTCCAATAAAGATGATGTTCAGGATTAAAGAAAGAGAAAAATGATTGTTTAATATCAAAGTCCGTTAAGGTCTCTGTGGACCTTTCCTCTCCTTACTGTCTCAGCACACATCTGTCTTCATCTATCTCAGAAACAAAGCAAGATTTTTATTTTCTGTGTAGTAAGCTTGATTTATTTATTTTTTTGTTCGATATTGTTTGTTCCAGGCAAAAGATCCAATACTCGATCGTAGCAAACGTTGATTGGTAGAGGCTTAAGGGTTTCAGAAAGAGAGACTCAGAGTTTCCTGGCATGGGGTGCACAACCGGCATCTCTCGGCCGCTTCAGGGCGATGCAGAATCAAAATAGTAACAGCTAATTACACGCTACAAACTTCCCCGGTTCCCATGCGGAGCAGAGTCACGTGCAGCGGCGCGGAGTGCTGCCCTTTGCCTCGCTCTGCCCCGTGACCCTCCGCTCCCCGGGTAAATGATCTGCAGGTACGCTCACGTTGCCCCACACACACACAGAAAGAGAGGGCCCACGTCCCGGTGGCCCTGCGGCCATAGCGGGGACGGCCCGGCCTTCGGTCAACACGTGCTGGAATTCAGATGGAAAGCGAGGTTAAAGGAGGAGGAGGAGGAGGCGCTGATGACAGAGAGGAGCCCAACCCATGAGGCTTTCTTCACTCATGAAAAACAAGCCATCAAAGAGGAGCTGTGGTCAGTGAGGCGGTGCCATGCTGTCCTGCCTCATGCTGGAGTTAAACAATTGGGCCTCTGAGGGCTGAACCTCAGCAGGGTCAAATCAGAGGATCTCTTAGAAGCTAAAAAAAAACTGACTGGATGTATCTCCACCTGTACCACACATTAGTCAAGACACGTCATCTGGTCTAAATCTTAAAAACATTTATTTATTTTTTTTTTTTTCAGAAAGCCACCAAAGACGCCAGTGGTATGATTAAAACTATTTTTAAGAAAGAAAATGCCCCTCTGAATCAGAATCTTTTAGGGAAAATTTTGTGGTTCAGACTATAAATTTTTAAAAAACATTCTGGAAAGAAGACAGACTTTTTTCAATTAAATCTTGTGGCTCTGACTTTTTGGCAGTTGAAAAGTGAAGTACAAAAAAGCTATTGCGGTGTCTGGAAAAATGTTTTTGTTGTATGGAGCAACAGTCTGAGGTTGGCTTCACATCAGTGATGAACAATGACACAGGAACCTCACACAGGTAAAACAGGTCACGGCTTTAAATTGGTGTCTTTTGTGTCACTAAATCCTTCGTGACACTCGCAGTGGAGTTTTGAATGAGGGGAACTGATTTCCTTATCAAAGAAAAGCCTGTTCCTTCCATGGCAAAGCCACAATTTGACCTGTCATTGGCACTGTTCTATCATCATGTGGTTTCCACACATTCTTCTTCCATTTCCAAGTAAAGATTTCCTTATAATACCAATTTCTGCCACAAGATTCAACAAAAGTCACCATAGTGTGGAGAACCAAATGAACCAACAAATAAACCCTTTATTGTAGATAAAGACTGACCTGTTAGTAAAAAATAAAACCGTGTTTGTGTTAAATAGAAATAACATAATTATATACTTTAAACTGCAGAAGCCCACTGCATCAAAGTAAAGGTGTGTGTCTCCTATTGTTTGTTGGCAAATTTTATTGATCATTTTTCACTTCAAATAGAAGTAATGAAAATGAAGAAAACAATTTTCTCTTGTCCCCTTTACTCTCAAATGAAAAAATATATATATTTAATTTTATATTTTTTTATGGACTTGTACCTCATCCGGTTAAACTATTTAACTTCAACCAAGTTTAAATAATATTCTGCCTCATCAAAATCAGGCTTTTACCATCATAAGGGCTGCTGGTGCCAGTGAGGCAAGTCATTAGAAAAAGTTTGAATGAACACACACACACACACAAGCATATCCAGATATACATATTGTCCCACCATTAATATTTGTTGTGCAGCATGAAAATTTTTTTCATGTGATAACTTTACATACATATAAAATTAAGTCTTATCAAGCATAACATAAAAAAACATGCCTCCATAACTACAGTGACCTCATCAGTTGGTTGGACCTCCTCGTATACTGAGTATCCCCAAAACCATCTTCTGTTGCTCAGAGGCAACTCCACCCCAGCCGTCCTGCGGAATTTGAACTAATCCCACTTATCTTTTATGCAATTACACCGCAGCCCAGGTGTAAAACTCTGAAATGAGCTGAGTACATAACCAGCAACATGTTTAATATATGACCCATTAAAAAAAAAAACCTCTCAAACACCCTTTGGAATCTCTGAACACATTTGAGTCATATAGTTTAACGAGCGTCATACCCTCTCTGTGCAGATTCCATAGATTACATCTTTATTTGCGGCTTCGTGGGCCAATTTAGATAGCGAGTTGTAAAACTTTAGTTGCAAGAAGACCTGTAATACATGAGTCACCGCTTTTGATGATACATACTTCCATACTTCCACTGTTACAATGAGCGTGTTTGACCTCAGTGATTATGGCCTGCTGGAAAATTAATTATGTGGAGAGAAAAGAAAAACACCCTAAGCTGTTTATTGATTTATGCACTTGATCTGCAGCACATCCGCGCAGTAACTGACTCTTTAAAGCCAGCTGGGTAAAACCAGAAGCGGTGGCCTCGGGCCAAAGGTTAGTCAGACCCACCATGGCGACCTGCCAGTAGCACTGCTGCCAAGGAAGAATCAATTACTTGCCTGGTTTACTGGAAAAGCACGCTAGCCCTCATTTGAGGAACCTGGAGGAGGCTGTGTGCTCACCCAAGTATCAATGAGGTGTCTGATTGATGGTAATAAACACAGATACAGTGTGCAGCTGTGTTCAGTGCAGTGTGAAAGGCATTGTGTTTCCTACCTGTTGTGTTTGTGGTTAAACAGAAATGGGAAAATTAAAGCATTTCTTTATGTGCAACAGCAGTGTGACACAGGTTGATTATAATGAACATAATTTGTTTTTTCGGTATTCAACAGGTTTGAGTTACACCTACGGACTGAACGTGGGCAAATATTGACATTAAAGGTGTTTTGATAAGTTCCCATGAACACAGCCCGTATTTGATAGCTTTTTGGGGATTTTCTGATGTAAATATTGAGCTGTAATAACATCCACCAACTCGGATGTGTGTGTTTTTATCCTTCAATTAACTATTGATTTTTTTTCAAAGTTTAAAATGAAGAAGAAATCTCACCATTATTGACTCCTTTTAGTCTTCAACATAATGAAGATTGTCTTTGATACTTGTTTTTTAAAACTCCATTTTTTAAAACTGGTCAAATAATCCTGAAATATCTTCTCAACCTATACTGAATTCTGATCACATTTTTTCAGCTGGAAGTTGTGAACGTAGTAAAGCTTCTCAGTCGATGGCCGTGACGCCTCCAGAGGTTCACACCCTGCTGGGATGATTCGCAATCTAAACTGTCTACTCATGTAAACAACACTCGCTGGGGAGCCCTTTCAGGGTCACCCCCTCAAACCATCTGCATACACACATATCAGCTCACCATGAAAATGGAAGTCGCATATTAAAGTTTCCTGGTGTCAGAAATCGATATTAAAATCACCAGGAAGAACTGGTGACTCTGGATTTGAGCAAAATGGTTACATCTGTTTAGAATCATTGTGACTCTTGTTTTAGTCTTTTACTGAAAACTAAGAATAAGAACATCAAGTAGATGTAAAATTGCTCAAAATGTAAGAAATATGTTTCACAAAGGAAAAATAAACCAAGGAAGATAAGATACAAAATGTCAGTATGAAAAAAACCCATCAGTGAATCATGAGTAAACTTGTTTCCATCAGTCAGGGTAATTCACTTTGTCAGTTTTTTTCACTTTGTCAGCTCTCAGAGTGCTTTTGGTCGCAGCAGGAAGCCGTTTTAACCAAAACCTCGACAGCATCACACACCACTCGCAATGGAAATTTGAATTCCATGTTTTATTAAGAGTACAAATAGCCTACAGTATATCACACGTTACAATAAACGAAACAACAGAAATCTTTTTGTCATTGATTTGTTCATAAATGAGCAATCAACCTCAGCATGAAGTTCAGGCCAACTTTGTATCAGAGCTATAAAAGATCGTAAAGTCATGTTTGCCTGTCGAGAGGAAAAAAACAAAAACGGTGAGATTGCAATAACCATCTCATAAAAGCTCAGTAAAGTGCCTGTCGTATAAAAGTTGGATACAAATATTTTAGTATTGTTGACATCTTGCCTCTAATCTTATCAAAAACTGATTTTAGGTGATGGTTGATGGTTATAGCCTGGTTGTTTTTTGTTTGTGTGCTTGTTGTTTGTTTCGGTGTGGCCCTGTGATAGACTTATAATGTTTCCAGGGGTGTACCTCACGCCCAATTTCAGATGGGATTAGCTCCAGCCCAGCCTACTAGAAATAAATGGCAGTGCAAATGAATGGGTGAAAGATCTTTCCCCTGTTTA